GACACCATTTTGAATTCAATATGGCGGCTTCCAGTTGGAGAAAAACTGGTAAATAATGTAAAATTATCCACAATATGGGTATTTTTGGAATCAAGGTGACGTGTAGGGACCGCAAACCCATGTCTGACGCCATATTAATTACATATGGTGGCTTGCGGTTAGAGAAAAACTGGGAAATTCTGCCAAATTCCCCTCAATATGGGTATTTTTGGAATCGTGGTGACGTGTAGGGACCAAAAACCTTATCTGACGCCATCTTTAAATTCAATATGGCGACTTGCGGTTAGAGAAAAACTGGGATATACTGCCAAATTAGCCACAATATGGATAGTTTTTGGAATCTTGGTAACGTGTAGGGACCGGACATCGATGTCTGAGGCCGTTTTGAAATTCAATATGGTGGCTTGCGGTTGGAGAAAACTTGGAAATTCTGTCAAATACTCCTTACTATGGATATTTTTGCTTGTGGTGATGTGTAGAAACATTTTGAATTCAATATGGTGGTTTCTGTTCGAGAAAATCTTGGGAATTCTGTCCAATTGAGGGGTAAATATGGGTATTTTTGGAATCGGAGTGACGTGTAAGGACGGAAAACCCATCCGTATTTTTCTATTTTTCTTTATTCGGAAGCCACCAAATTGGATTTCAAAAAGGCGTCAGACATTGCTTTCCGGAATCTACACGTCATCCCGATATCAAAAATACCCATATTGTAGAGTATTTGACAGAATTTTCAGGGTTTCTCCAACCGGAAGCTGCCATCTTGAATTTCAAAACGGAATCAGACATCGATTTCCGGTTCTCACACGTCTACCCAACTCCAAAAATACCTATATAGTGGGGTATTTGACAGAATTTCCAAGTTTTATAGTTCACCAACCGGAAGCCGCCATTTTGAATGTCAGAAAGACATCAGACATGGATTTCCGGTCCCTACACGTCACCCGGATTCTAAAAATACCCACATTGAGGGGTATTTGACAGAATTTACAAGTTTTTATCCAACCGGAAGCCGCCATCTTGAATTTCAAAGAGGCGTCAGACATCTATTTCCGGTACAACACGTCACCAGAATTCCAAAAATACTAATATTGTGGATAATTTTACAGTATTTCCCAATTTTTCTCTAGACGGAAGCCGCCATATTGAATTTAAAATGATGTCATACATGGGTTTCAGGGCCCTACATGTCACCCAGATTTTGAAAATACCCATATTGAGGGCTTTTTGGCAGAATTTCCAATTTTTTCTCTAACCGAAGGCTGCCATATTGAATTCAAAATGGCGTCAGACATGGTTTTCCGGTCCCTACGCGTCACCCCAATTCCAAAAATACCCATATTGAGGGATATTTGACAGAATTTTCAAGTTTTTCTCCAACCGGAAGCCACCATATTGAATTTCAAACGGCCTCAGGCATCGATGTCTGGACCCTACACGTTACCAAGACTCCAAAAATACTCATACTGTGTGTAATTTAGCAGTAATTCCCAATTTTACTACAACCGGAAGCAGCCATATTGAAGTCAAAATAGCGTCAGACATCGATTTCCGATCCCTACTCGTCACCCCAATTCTAAAAATACCCATATTGAGGGGTATTTGACAGAATTTTCAAGTTTTTCTTCAACCGGAAGCCACCATCTTGAATTTCAAATTGACCTCAGACATCGATTTCCGAACCCTACACGTCATGGCTTACCAAACCAGATATTTCTTTGCGAACTTTGACAGTTTCATGTGCTTGAAAACATCTGCTACCTTTCCCCTTCCTTTTGCCGTATAAAACTCCTGTCCCGGAAGCTGCTTGTAGTCGGCTTTGACGTAGGTTTCGTCGTCCATTACCACGCAGTCAAACTTCGTCAGCATCGTCGTGTACAGCCTCCGGGATCGCGCTTTGGCCGTCGTATTTTGTTTATCATCGCGATTTGGAGTCACTACCTTCTTGTAAGTCGATAGTCCGGCTCGTTTTTTGGCTCGATGCACGGTTGTAGACGATACACCCAGCTTATTTGCGGCATCTCGGAGAGAGAGGTTAGGGTTTCGCTTGAAACTACCGGCAACTCTCTTTGTCGTCTCAGCGGCTTCCGGTTTTCGATTTCCCCCCGATCCAGACTTCCTGGCTGTCGACAAACGTTCCCCAAACACTTTAATTACATTTGTAACGGTTGATTTGGCAACTTTTAGCGATTTTGCCAACTTTGCGTGCGAGTAGCTCGGATTTTCGCGATGCGCGAGCAAAATTTTGATACGCTGCTCTTCTTGCTTGGACGGCATTTTGACAACTGAAGAGTGAATTCCAAAATCAAAATAGGAGCAACATTCTACACACACACACCTTCAAAATGAGGGGTGTTCAGGTTTTTTAAATGCAAAATTGAAAGAAATACGTCAAGTTGATATTGACCAAATTTTGACCGTATCACCCTTTATTCAAAAAATACCCATATTGAGGAAGCCGAAGAAACAAAAAAAAAATGATTGAAACAAATTTAGAAGTAATAAATTACCGAAAACCGCAACCATCGCTTATAGAACTCTAAGGTTTTCCATCCAGTCGACTGCAGCGGAGGTTACGACTCTTGTCACTTAAAATCGTCACTTCAGTACGACTTTTGTCACCGAAATACGATTGTGAGAATAAGGTGAGAGTTCACCGGGTTCATCCCAAGTGACTTTTCTCACCTCACTTGCCAGCTGGAATCGGATAACACGAGTGACTCGAGTCACCTCACCTCATTCGCCACGCAGAATAACCCTGATCGATTCCATCTTGCGTCGGTTCAGCATGCAGGATGCGAAGGCCGTAACCACTCCCATGAACAGCGCTGAAAAGTTGTCAAAGGAGATGTCACCGAAGAAACCGAGCGGATGAAGAATGTTCCGTACCAGGACGCCGTCGGATGCTTGATATACCTGACACAGTGTACGCGTCCAGACATACTCCCCCTTATTCTGCGAGTCACGTGACTCTCTCTCACCGGTGAGCTGACAATTGTCACCTCGTGTGAGGTGACTCTCCATGCAAATCAAATGGAGAGTCACCTCACACGAGGTGACTATTGTCACCTCACCGGTGAGAGAGAGTCACGTGACTCGCAGAATAAGGGGGACTATTCGCCGTGAACTTCTTGAGTTGTTTCAACAACTGCCCCGGACCGAAGCACTGGGAGGCAGTGAAGTACCTTCTACGTTTCCTGAAAGGAAGATCAAAAATGAAGTTAATGTATCCTGTGACCGGCGACTCGAAGCTCGTTGGTTATTCTGATGCGGACTGGGTGTCCGATCTTGACGACAGAAGGACAACGAGTGGATACGTATTCCTGCTGCAAGGAGGAGCAGTATCCTGGTGCTGTAAGCGACAGACCACCGTATCACTCTCAACGTGTGAGGCGGAGTACATGGCGTTGTCTGCTGCGTTACAAGAGGCGTCATGGTGGCGAGGACTGGTGCCGCAGTTTGGCGTTGCGCTGTGACAACCAGTGTACAATTTGTATCGCGCGGAATGGCAGATACACACCCCGGAAAAAAACACATAGATATCCGGCACCATTACATCCGTGATGCGTTGGACCGGAAAACTATCAAACTCAACTACGTCAAAACCGAAGACCAAGTTGCAGATGGTTTGACGAAGCCACTTCAGCGAGTCAACCTTGAATGCAACCAAAGAGCAATGGGATTGCATATTTGCAGACGCCAGTTTAAGGAGGAGTGTTGAAGATCAGTAAGCTGCGTCTACATCAGTAGGCTAGTTATTATATGCGACAATAAATTTTCATTCTACTTCTAACCGTCAACCGAACCAGACGTTCTCATTGCCTACTCGCAATAGAAATACGCGTATCTGTCAAAAGATAAGCAATTATAACGGAATTTAAAGGAAATAAACCAACACACTCAAAACTCTTCATAAAGGGATTCCGTTAAGAGGTTCGACAAATTTAAAAGATTGTTTACAAGTTGGTCGGTTGCTTGAAATGAAATACAGGTTTCCGTGAATGAATGTTTACATCACTATTAAAATTCAGAATTTTTATCTGTGAAAAAATAAAAAAATTAAATTTGAGATTTCAATGATAATATATTTATTGTATTCATTGACACCAAAACGAGGGCTTGACTATCAGGAAAAACGTAATTTTAAAATTTAGCATCAGTCTACTGGACAGCCTGTCATGATGTTTTATATTCACCTTTATTCCGCGAGTCACGTGACTCTCTCTAACCGGTGGGGTGACTCTTCATTTGATTTTCACGGAGAGTCACCTCACACGAGGTAACAATTGAGTCACGTGACTCAACGTGACGTCAATATTGTGCAATATCAAAATGTCGAGAAAAGTTAGAAGCACCATTAAGGTAAGCTACAACCAGGCTGTTTTAATGTACACGGTGATGTTAATAAATGCAATCCTAATCCAACATTTTGCAGGTCCTCCAATCAGGACCGGAATTAAAAGTTAATCCAAGTTGGAGCGAACCACGATAAATGCAGCTGGTTTCACATTTAAAATCCACTACAGCTAGTGATTGTTGTTCGCTAGATGAAAAGTAATCCTTTTTGCAGGTACCGAACGTTGAGCATACTTTTTTTTTAATTTATCGTTGCCAACTATGTGTTCCTTTTTTCCAGCACAACTACCCACACTGCACCGAACTACTCACCATCCGATTCTCTCATTCTTCCAAAACCTCTCGCTCTCTATTTTTACACTCTCACACTCTTACTCCCTCTCTCGCTCAACTGTAACCTTATCTGACGCTTTTCCACCCGCCAGCGAAAAGTGAGCGACCAATTTTCCTCCCAGCAGCAGCATCCAGCAACGGCCTTTGTTTACCCACCCACCATACAGCATCCGCAATCTCACAATAGAGCGAGAGAGAGAGTGGGACCTAGAGAGAGGCTGGACCGCTTTTTGAAGTGACAACTCCATCCATCCTCCAATCAATTGCAGTTTGCTCGCTTTGTTCGCTCACGCACTGCTGTCTTCCTCCGACAACCTTCGTCCGAAACGCATCAAACGCGCACCACCTGCTGCTATCGCTGACTGCAGCCCTAAACTTTTCCACCCATGGCCTACTACTGTGCCCTCGGATTCCGATAGATTCGTTCAGGTTCATCTGGGCTGCAGCGTGTGCAGATTCGTGACGTTTCCCCATTGTTGTTGTTCCCCGAAAATTAGTGCAAAAAGTGTGACGCGAGTGGTGAAAATTATCCGATCCGAGAAAATGCCATCATCATCATCGTCATCAGCGCAAAAGGTTGCCCCCGTCCCGGGTGAGGGGAGAACGTTGTTTTAAAGTTGAAAATTGAACATTTTTAGATACCAGGTAAAGTCGTGAGGGGAACGGAAAAAGTGAACGAAGAAGTTGTTTGATTTTTTTTTTCTCTATTTTTGGCCATTGGCCATTTGGTGCGAGGGAGGGGAAGTCGACGACGGACGCCCGGACGAAGGTTCCCCATTTATATTTATGGGTCTCCATGGGTGAGAGAGCAAGCGTAACGCGAGCGGGGAGAGAGTGAGCGAAACGTGGTGCCCCCGGAATTTTTCTCGAGTGTTTGATTGTTTACTAGGCTGTTGGTGGAAAATGATGTCGCCTGCCTGTTGAAGTGCAGATTCTCTTCGACGACGGCCATCCATCGACACAGAGCATATCGCGTGCAGCAGCGCCCCCTCCAAAACGTGTGTGCAGAAACACCTCAGCTCTCACAGTTTGGTGACAGACATGAGAACGGACGGACGGCGATCGGCGGACGTCGTTTGGTTGGTAGGCGATCGGAGTGACGACAGTGGCGGGGACGGTGGAGGAATAAGTTGTGAATTTGCGAACGGCTCGGGGCGGACTAGGCGCAGGCCGGTGGCGAGGCAACAAACGATGAAATTTGCCTGCGAAAGTGCTCATCATCTCCCGGTTCAGTCTGCCAGCTGAGCTCGACGGTCCCAGTTCGCGTCGAAACACGTGCCAGTCGGTTCCATTTCTACCCGCGATCGTCCTGGAAGCAGTGCCATGGCGTCGACCGCCGCAAGTGCTGACGGATTCGTTCCCAACGGAAACCAACGACCGACAACGGAATGTGATAGCGTTAGTGATAGTGATAGGGTAGTAGATTTAGTGGATCCCGCGAATGTGGCCCGCTTCAAGGCCGAACTGGTGGCGTTCCTCGGGGAATTGTACTCGCCCGATCAGCCCTGGGATCTTGACGTATTTGAGGGCTACGGGCGAGGGATGGTGGCCACCCGTGACATTGCAGAGAACGAATTGATCTTCCTGGACCGGCCCATCCTGGTCGGTCCCCGAGTCAACAACTACGATGTGATATTCTGTGCCAGCTGTTGTAGAATACAGAAGAAGTTAACCCTCTGCAGTGGAGGCTGCCGTCTACCGATTTGTCCGGACTGCGATGTTAGTGCAGCTCCGGAAACACCCCATTCCGCCGAGTGTCGTGTCATAACCGCCTGGCATCCCAAAGACCAAAAGCGGTACTGCAAAACCATCCTGTATGCCCTGACATCGATCCGAGGGTTCCTCATGGACGATCATCAGCGCTCGATCGTGCTCAACATGGAAGCCCATCCACCGCGCAAGGACATGATCACCGAGGTTGAACGAATTCTCAAGGATGAAGTTTTCAGCAACCTACCGGAGGACAGCCCCAATGTGCGCTACCTTCGCCAGATTGTCAACGTACTCAACACCAACGCATTCGAAACGTTCCGAATGGTTCAGGACGAGGAAAACAACGATCACGAAATCATCCTCCGCGGTCTGTACATACTGGGAGCTCTGATGAACCACTGCTGCTTGCCTAACATTCGGTACGTGTTCGACGAGAATCTGGTGATGCGATGTTATGCCTCGAAGCCCATCGGCAAGGGCGAGCAGATCTTCAACAACTACTCCAAACCACTCTGGGGAACGCAGCATCGGATCATCCATCTGTGCTTCTCGAAGCACTTTATGTGCGGCTGCGAACGCTGCCGGGATCCAACGGTAAGTGACTCTTTCCCCTCCCAGAATATGATCCAATTAGAGAATGTGTGTGTGTGTATTTTGGCACCTTTTCCTCGGTTAAAATATGATATTTTCTCAATAACCGATATTTGCGCTAAAAATATGCTAGCGGTTCTGCCGTGTTGGGTTTTGCTATTTGTGCGATACTCGTAATCGCGAGGTATGTGCAGCCAAGGTGACCAGCGGTCCGGGAATGTGAATTTCGACGACATATCGGGAAATTGTATGTGTCTCCTCTTCGGAAAAAACACAAAATTTCAAGACCCTAAAGCAGCGTTTCTCAATCTATGGTCGCCGGCTGCCCTCAGGTGGGTTGCAACAAATCCAGACAACTTGATCATAAGTTTGTAAAATTGCAATTTTAACTGATTTTTAAATATGCTGGGATAATCAATTGCAAAGACATTCTGGCAATATACATCCAGTTTGGAAAGTGTAGGTCATTTTGACTTATTTGGACCATTTTTGGCCTTTCTGGGGGCATTTTAACGTTTCATGATTATTATGAGAGGTGCCATTTTAGGCTGTTAATAAGATTTTTAGGCCAATGTGGTGTTTTTAAAGCAATTCTAGACTGTTTTAACCTGGTATAGCGATTGTGAGCAGGGATTGGGATTGAACTCGCGACCTTTTACTTGAACAGCGAAAACGGTAACCACTATTCTGCACTCCGGTGGCAGAAACGTCATCCACCAACATTTTGCTTGAAGCCAAAGTTGTTGGTTCTTTGGCTCGATTATCTGCCAATCTAAGACAACTGGTGCAAACATTGAGAAATTATGCTCCGTCCACATAGATGTTTGATATATTGTGCGGCAAAATAATCGTGATATATGTTCAATTTTAGAATGCGTGTTTATTACAAATACTAACCAAATTAATGGTATTTTTACTATAGGCCAGATTTTATGGATCGGCCAACTGGTTCTGGAGATACGAACAGAACAGAATTCAAACACATGATTAATGGAAGTCATAATGAGTATCCAAAACTAAATTGATCCAGACTCCCTAAAAATGTTGTGAAAGCTGTAGAGTTTCGGATGTATTCAACCTACACACTACCAAAAAGTCATGTAAATTTCCGTGCCCTGAGACCGACACATGCAAGCGGCCCAAATGGCATAAGAATCAGTTGAAAGAAACGAGAAAATAAATTCAATCAATCGTACTTTTCGTCGAGTTGCGTATGTTTCGGTTTGAGAACACTTAATTTTACATGACATGCATAATTTACGTCAAAGATGGATTACGTCTCGAGTAAAATTAGTTCTTTTTAAGTGTGTATTTAACATGCGTAGTTACTTCTGATTTAACACTTTTTATTTTCCCGAACAATCTGATACAACCTCTCACTCTCGACGTTCGTTCTCTTCTTCTCCTATCTGTGAATCCGCACGTACATCACATGACTTTGTCAGGGTTGCCATGTTTTTACTGTTCTTTATTATATAACTAGCTGAGTGTACCCGGCTTTGCTCGGGATTCCATATTTCCTTAAGTTCATGTTCTGACTAAAAAAAATCCTATCCTCTTAGTCGCAAGCAATACGAATCATGCTAGTTAAATTAATTAGCAACTGCGAGACTTTATCATCTTTGTTAATTGTAAAGGAATCAATAAATTAACATGCTTCTAGTATCTTTTGTAGCTTGCTGTTATTACGAATCTTGTTGTTTTTAGTTCTCTATAAGCAAACGCATCAAATATCAAATAAGCTAATTATCGGGTGCACACACAAGGACCCGTTCAAATATTACATAACGCGAAATATTTCATTTTGTATGGTGAAACATTTCATTTTGTATGGAAAATGAAATATTTCACGTTACGTTGTACGTGAACGGCCCCCAACACAACTGAACCGTATCTATGTCCTTACCTATACGTGATTTCAAAATTATCGACGGATACTCAAGTGTTTCATGTTATTAGGTACTGCACCGTCGGCGGCTAACCTCAAATTTTGACAGTTTGGTGGTACTGTTTACATAGACTTAGCCGATATTTTGTTGAGTGGATTTTTTCAATAATTTTTCTTTTCATCGCCTATTTCCTCGTTATTTTTTAAATGAAAACTCGAAACATCAAAAATATATTTTCGAAAAAAAATCTAAGTCCGTTGAATTTTACCACTGAACTGTCAAAGACTTCATGCGTGACGTCATCTTGTAGCACTCAATTTAAAATTTGCTTGGTGGACTGAGCTGAGGAAAATCATCTTCACGGTGAATAAAAGAGCAGCCGATTTGTTTGACGTAAATAGAACAAAAATGAATACATCAAATCGAAGAGGGATCTCTTGCTGAATCAAGAAAGGCTGAACAGCACAGAAGCCTGAACAGCACAAAAAGCTGAAAAGTACGAATAGCTAAATGCTAAAAACCTGCAAAAAACAGCGAATTAACGTACATCGAAGACCGAAGCTTTAAGTACCACGTTTTTCAAAGGTTAATGGAGGAAAGAAGCTTATAGTAAATGCATATCTGTCGCTACGCTCCTCTGACTAAAAAAAAACACGGGCATAACAGTAAATCTGAGGGCTACCCAGTAAAAAAGCGTTTCTCAAATGATAGTGAAGATAATATTCTTCTTAAAATGCTTTTAGTAAATGCATGCCCGTCGCTACGCTCCTCTGACTAAAAAAAAACACGGGCAGGACAGTAAATCTGAGGACAACGCAGTAGAAGAGCATTTTTCAAGGATTATTAGAAAAAAGAAGCTTTAAAGAGAGGCTTTTAATAAACGCATGCCCGTCTCTTTAACCCATTTAACCCAACAGAGAATACCGTTTACTTTTCGAATATGACGGATTCGATTCGTTCGAAAACCAGAATAGAGGTGAAAGTTTTTTTAGGTAGTGCAACATTTTTCTTATCGCACTACAATTTGCAGGTCGTGCAACATTTTTGTTTTCTAACACATTTTAAAAGTCGCGACATTAAATATACCGTGCAACATTTTTCATGTTGCGCAACATTTGTTTCAACACCAACATTTTCTGCGTCGCGCAACATTTATCATGTCACGTAAGTTTTTCATGTCATGCAAATTTTTCATGTCACCCAACATTTTCATGTCACCCAACATTTTCATGTTGTGCAACATTTTTCATGTCACGCAACATTTTTCATGTCACGCAACATATTTCATATCACGCAACATTTTTCATATCGTGCAACATTTTTCAAATCGTGCAACATTTTCCATATCATGCAACATTATTCATTTCGTGCAACATTTTCCATATCATACAACATTTTTCATGTCACACAACATTTCTCGTATCACGCAACATTTTCGTGTCTTACAAAATTTTTCGTGTCGCGCAATATTTTTCATGTCGTGCAACATTGTTCATGTCGTGCTACAATTTTCTTGTTGCGCAACATTTTTCAGGTCGTAAAACATTTTTCTTGTTGCGCAACATTTTTCAGGACGTGAAACATTTTTCAGGTCGTGCGTCGCGCAACATTTCTCATGTCGCGCAACATTTTTCATGTCGTGCAACATTTTTCTTGTCGTGCAACATTTTTCATGTAGTGCAACATTTTTCATGTCGTGCAAAATTTTTCGTGTCACGCAACATTTTTCATGTCGTGCAACATTTTTCTTGTTGCGCAACATTTTGCAGGTAGTGCAACATTTTTCTTGTTGCGCAACATTTTTCTTGTTGCGCAACATTTTTCAGGTCGTGCAAAATTTTTCATGTCGTGCAACATTTTTCTTGTTGCGCAACATTTTTCGTGTTGCGCAACAGTTTTCATGTCATGCATAATTTTTCATGTCGTGCAACATTTTCGATGTCGTGCAACATTTTTGATGTCGTGCAACATTTTTGATGTCGTGCAACATTTTTCATGTCATGCAACATTTTTCATGTCGTGCATCATTTTTCATGTCGTGCAACATTTTTCGTGTTGCGCAACATTTTTCATGTCGTGCAACATTCTTTATGTTACGCAACATTTTTCAGGTCGTTCAAAATTTTTCATACTCGCAACATTTTTCATGTCGTGCAGCATTTTTCGTGTCGCGCAACAATTTGCATGTCGTGCAACAATTTGCATGTCGTGCAACATTCTTATGTCGTGCAACATTTTTATGTCGTGCAACATTTTTCGTGTCGTGCAACATTTTTCATGTCTTGTAACATTTTTCATGTCTTGTAACATTTTACATGTGGTGTAAAGGTACCAAAAATGCAAAAAAAATCGAAGCACGCTATACTTTTGATAGCCCCTCGGCTTAATCTTCGGACCCCCCGTCTTCCCAATCACCCTATAACCATCTTCTTAAAGTGAGGAATACGTATGCCAAGTTTGGTAGAAATCGGTCCATGCGTTCCAGAGTTATGCTGGAACATACAAACAAACATACAAACATACAAACATACATCCACTTTTATATATATAGAAGAAGAAGATAGAAGATAGAAGATACAAAAGGGCCGGAGTTAGGCTCGACCCGAAAATAGCCACCATAGTTAAGGCTCCTTTACACTGGCGCAATTTATTCGTAGCCGCAGCGATAGCGAATAAATCGAGCTTTCCGCGGCAGCAAAATTCGTGCAGGTACACCTGAGTGGCAACTTCGCCGCTGCGTCGCCATCGTGTGCATTGGATTCGTTGCCGAATGATGAGGCGCTTTCCTTGTTTAGTTTGCAAGTAAAGGTTATCTCATGGGATTTGAGTTGTCGGCTGGTCTCTTCTGTGCAGGCACAGGACCAGGTGTAACCAATGTGGTTTGATGTTTCGCATGATAGATTTTGGGTCATGTCAGATTTTGGCCACATTCAGAATGGTACCCGGAACACAGGGCCTTGTTGTCGTTAACTGGGACCCAGGGCCAAACATATGTGGAGTCGAGTGCACCAAAGTCGAGTTTTACAGTAATTAACCCTGTTCAACAAATCAACAAAACCAATCACGTCTTACAGATATTCTCTTACCAGGTTACTCAAAAAATATTCATTAGAT